TTCCGCATTCAAATTTTTTCTTATTTTTTTTTCATGTTTTCATCCTCGCCATCTATTTCATTCCAATCCAACAACTCATCCGGACGATCAACCATATCATTCGAAAAATTCATCGTGCAGATGTTTAGTAGCTCCTGTAGGTACGTTCAGTTATTGCTTTGGTCCTGCAGTATTTTTCAATCATCATGGTCTCGTTGTGTCTAATGATTATTTCTATCCTGTAATGGTAATTTTTAACGTTGCTTTTGAAGTGATATAATAGAAATATCGTCAGATGGCTTGTCATTACTGATCTGTGTTTCTTCACCAGATTGCTTCTAATCCTTCGCATACGCGTCAAAAAGCAAAGTGAGGATCTTTAGTAACCATACATAAAATAATAAAGTTTACAAAGTTTTATTCTTCTCAAAACCTCAATGTAAAATACTTAATTTTTTTTTATAAAATTTACGTTATCTTACAATTTTAAAAACAAAAGTTAATAAGTAAGCAATTAAATAAAAATGAAAGTTTCGAATTTAATTTATTCGAAAACTACTAGTCCTACTACCACACTGATACATAGACTGCTATTGCTTCTTTCACTACTGTCTTTGTTGTTTCAGTTTGTACTTGTACAGCCGTACTATTTGTTGTTGATATTAATTTTTTTTTCATTGTTCATAACAAAGAAAACTATTTCTGATAAAACCATTTTCAATATTTTATTTTTTGTAGAAAATATATTAACTACGACAACGAAAATGTACAATAAGAACGCGCATACTTATATACGATGTAACATTATGAAGATAAAATTAAGATCTCGCGTTAGTGAAAAATCAGACGGTATATTATCATTCATTGCCTGTTGTTGCGGTTGCTGCTGAAGTATTAGTAGTTGTTGTCGTAGTAATCGGTTAGGTTCAAAAAGCGGTTGTTGATCTAGTAGGGATATTTCTTGCGGTTATACCGGTTCCAGAAGTTGCTGCTGCCGTTGTTGATCCTGCAAAATTATTAATTGTTAATTAAGTTGCTGCTCCTGTGGCTCTAACTGTCGTTATTTACAAATACATTATCTTCTCCTGCGCACCTTTTTAGTTTTCTTTCCTTCACCCGTCTGTATTGAAACCAGTAGCGAACCTGGTTGATATCCAGACCGGTTTCAGCTGAAATTCTCTCTTCTACTCGCGTCCAAAAAATTGTTTTTCACAAACTCATTTTCCAATTTTTCTATCTGCCCCGGACTATGTGCGGTTCTGTGGTGGTCTTTCGTTCTTCTCCTAGGTATCGGTTGCTTGGTAAAAGATGTCTGTGAGCTTGGTTGTTGTGGTTGGAGCAGTGTTAGTTGTGACTGTAGTGGTGGTTGCTGCATTAGCAGTTGTTGTGGTGATGGTTTTTGAAGAAATGGTGGTAGCTGTGGCTGGGGAATTAAAAT